ATATTGATGTATGACATATTGATGACTACCCTGTCACCTATAGCCAGGTAGAATATTGATGTATGACATATTGATGACTACCCTGTCACCTATAACCAGGTAGAATATTGATGTACGACATATTGATGTCTACCCTGTCACCTATAGCAAGGTAGAATATTGATGTGACGTATTGAAGTATGACATATTGATGACTACCCTGTCCCCTATAACCAGGTAGAATATTGATGTATGACATATTGATGATAACCCTGTCCCCTATAACCAGGTAGAATATTGATGTGACGTATTGAAGTATGACATATTGATGACTACCCTGTCCCCTATAACCAGGTAGAATATTGATGTGACGTATTGAAGTATGACATATTGATGACTACCCTGTCCCCTATAACCAGGTAGAATATTGATGTGACGTATTGAAGTATGACATATTGATGACTACCCTGTCCCCTATAACCAGGTAGAATATTGATGTGACATATCAATGGCTACTTTGTTGCCTTGATGAAACAAATAACTAATGAAACACATCAGTTTAAATATCGAAGGTCTTTCTACTGTGGTATGATATTATAAATACTAGGGTAGAAATTATTGTGACAATTAAGGTGGCAATAATAGTAAAAACAGGTGGAACTGGTGTTCTTCTATATGTATATTAGGTGGTAACTATGTACTATCTCATGGAAGTCCTTCTGTACTCACCATATTACAACAGTTCAATATTCAAGTATTGACCTGTGCATATTTTAATAAGATACAAAGAAGACTTTCATTTCTGTCAATTAATCTTCTAAAGTCGGTGATTTATTCCATCAACTTACGCATATAACAAGGAATACATTGATCAAACAGTGCATGCTAATTGCTAGGTACCTGGTAATTTTAGAATGGAATCCCTTATTAAGTGATAATAAAAGTGGATTCTTTATTCAGGTAACATACACAATTAGCTTGATACCTGATGGTGAGCACCAGTAATGAACATGAAATGGTGGTTCTGATGGTTCTCATTAGCAGAGCCTGACAGTGTGGCCCCCAACACTAGTTAGAGCAGTCAAGCCTAGGTGTGATTGGCTATTGATTAAGTACACAGTAAGGAGAGTTAGCCCGCAGTATCAGACTGGTGACAACCCGCTACAAATCGTAGAATTAGTTTAGCAGCTGTGGTGTTTATACCTATACACCCCACACATCACATTGTCGCTAACAAGATGTAACGACACTGCAGTTATTGAACAGATCTCTTGTCAATTGATACTCAGACAATTCTCGGAGAATTATTTCCATATTTTTGTGACAGTGTTTCCGGGACACCTCCCTTCCTTGGTAAGTTTTCATACACTTCAAAAGAAATATTTGTCAATTTGTTAATGAAAAACTATAGGACTATACATGTTAAGTTGAATGGTAAATTCTGAGCATTTTCTTGACATTCTAAAAGTGTTTTGCTTCCATAGCAACAATTGATGATTTCTCTGAAGGTGTTATGAGATATTGTATGCTTTTAGTTAATTATGAAATTCAGTATATGGCCATATTTTGGAATTGTGGACTGGAATCTGAACTGGAGCCAAACAACATACAGAATTATGGCCCTTAGTTCATTCTCTTCTTAATGATTGTAACCTGTGTTGATCTTTTTGTAATCATTTTGTTACCCACTGATGGAAACTTTGGGTTTGTTTGCATCCTTCTGTCCTCTGTCCAGTAGTCTGTCTGCTAATGTTGGATATATATATTTTTACCCAGATAACCTTTTGTAATAACTTTATCAAACAAAGTATCAACAGATCAAAAGTCTGTCCTCAAGTAGAATTTTCTATCTTTTGACTGGTAAATATATTGTCTCCTGTTAATTGATATGATGATGCAAACTTGGTCAGAATTTAAACGGAAAATTAACTGACCACTGAAAAGGTCAAGAGGTCATCTAAATCAGATTAACTGGTAAAATTAAAAGGTAAGTTCAACTGATCGGAGGTCTTCCATTACTTCAAATGTTTTTGAAAGAAACCCCCTCATAGATAGATGTGATGAATTGTGATTATTTAGATGAATTATTTTGAATACCTGAGAGACTGCCTATAGAGTAATCAATGACACAATGGGCCTTTTTTATAACATACACATGTATATTAAAATTTCTAATCACCTTCTGTTAATTGAAAATCACAAAGATAAGATGAGTTACAAGCCTTCAGACCCAATGCTTTGACTGTTGACCCATTTCTAGGGTAGTACTTCTGAATCTTCAGACAGCACTTACTCCATCTGATAATAGTGAGGTGTTGTCCTTCTTTATATAACACTTCTTATCAGTATATTTCTTCATAGCACTAAATGGATCTGTCTCAAAATTTAAAATTAGTGGCTATTAGTACTCTTGTAATTTGGAGACATATTTGTTAAAAACTGCAATAAACAACAAAACTAAATAGTTATTTCTTATATTTACATTTTGAAAGCATTTCTTTCTTTATTTACGCTCCCTAAAAAACAATAATTGTTGTTGATTGGATATTTGATGCACTGACGGAACAGCCCAACAGCCCTGGAAAGTTTGTCAACTCCAGGAGGGAAACTTCCATCATAATGTCAAGTTGTTATTACATTTTTGTGATATATTTTAATTACTTCTATTTCTATTCACATATTGCATTGAGTTTTCTAGTTTATACAAGGTATATATGTTTACTGAAGTGTAAGTTTGAATTTTGTTGGTAAGGCTGAATGAAGAATACACACTGGAAATGTAAATATTGTCAGATATATGCAATTAAGAGCCAATAATAGGAAAGAAAAGAACGGGAAAGATCAAACAAATGATTGGCACCATTTAAATTTTTCTTGAATCTCGTACAATTTTTTACATGTTGAAACATGTAGATGAAAAAAGAATATCAATCATTTGTAAAGATACCAACTCCTATCAATGTCCAGTAGTATTTAATTTTCTAAGCACTGCTCATTCTGCCTGGACCAAATGGAGAAAATAAAACATAAAAATTTTATGAATTTCTAAAAACTCACTGTCAATAACATAATGAGAAGGATATTACAGTGTATTGAATTTCTTTCTCATTTAGAATATGTTTGTAGTATATTGTTTATTATGTGGTTCAGGTGATATAATTCTGATTGGTAAAGGTTTTTTGAACTTCTTTCACAAAGGTGAAATTTTAAATCAATCTCAAACCTGAGCACTTTTTTAGGTCATCTGACTGAAGGGTTTGATGACCTATTGCGATCGCCTTTTGTCCCTCGTTGTCTGTTGTACGTCGTCCGTCGTAAACATTTTCAACTTCTTCTCAAGTTCTACACGTCTCATTGAGCTGAAACTTACCTGACATGATCATGCCATGATCCTGACCAAAGTTTGGTAATTTCGGGTTGGTCCGAAATCCAACATGACCGCCATGGCCGCCATCTTGAAAACACATTTTTGACTTCTTTTCAAGCTCAAAATTTGAAATCTTGTATTTTATGTCAGATGACCATTAAGGCCCATGGGCCTCTTGTTTTAGTATCAAATATTCTTCTACAATTAACATTACATGTATATCAATTCACTAGCTAATATTGGATTGATGAAAGACTGTTTTTCTGGAGTTGAGTGTTGATGGACATTCTGTATTTGTTTGACTGCTTTCCTGGAGTTGACTGTTGGTGGATGTTCCACATTTGTTTGACTGTTTTCCTGGAGTTGACTATTGGTGGATGTACCACATTTGTTTTACTGTTTTCCTGGAGTTGACTGTTGGTGGATGTTCCACATTTATTTGACTGTTTCCTGGAGTTTACTGTTGGTGGATGTACCACATTTGTTTGACTGTTCCCTGGAGTTGTCTGTTGGTGGATGTTCCACATTTGTTTGACATTTGTTTTAATGTTTCCTGGATTTGACTATTGGTGGATGTTCCACATTTGTTGACTGTTTCCTGGAGATGACTATTTGTGAATGTTCCACATTTGTTTGACTGTTTTCCTGGAGTTGACTATTGGTGGATGTTCCACATTTGTTTGACTGTTTCCTGGAGTTGACTATTGGTGGATGTTCCACTTTTGTTTGACATTTTCCTGGAGTTGACTATTGGTGGATGTTCCACATTTGTTTGACTGTTTTCCTGGAGTTGACTGTTGGTGGATGTTCCACATTTGTTTGACTGTTTCCTGGAGTTGACTGTTGGTGGATGTTCCACATTTGTTTTATTTTTTTCCTGGAGTTGACTATTGGTGGATGTTCCACATTTGTTTGACTGTTTTCCTGGAGTTGAATGTTGGTGGATGTTCCACATTTGTTTTACTGTTTTCCTGGAGTTGAATGTTGGTGGATGTACCACATTTGTTTTACTGTTTCCTGGAGTTGACTGTTGGTGGATGTACCACATTTGTTTGACTGTTCCCTGGAGTTGACTGTTGGTGGATGTTCCACATTTGTTTGACTGTTTCCTGGAGTTGACTGTTGGTGGATGTTCCACATTTGTTTTATTTGTTTCCTGGAGTTGACTATTGGTGGATGTTCCACATTTGTTTGACTGTTTTCCTGGAGTTGACTGTTGGTGGATGTTCCACATTTGTTTGACTGTTTTCCTGGAGTTGACTGTTGGTGGATGTTCCACATTTGTTTGACTGTTTCCTGGAGTTGACTGTTGGTGGATGTTCCACATTTGTTTTAATGTTTCCTGGATTTGACTATTGGTGGATGTTCCACATTTGTTGACTGTTTCCTGGAGATGACTATTTGTGAATGTTCCACATTTGTTTGACTTTTTCCTGGAGTTGACTGTTGGTGAATGTTCCACATTTGTTTTACTGTTTCCTGGAGTTGACTGTTGATGGATGTTCCACATTTGTTTGACTGTTTCCTGGAGTTGACTATTGGTGGATGTTCCACTTTTGTTTGACTGTTTCTTGGAGTTGACTGTTGGTGGATGTTCCACATTTGTTTGACTGTTTTCCTGGAGTTGACTGTTGGTGGATGTTCCACATTTGTTTTACTGTTTCCTGGAGTTGACTATTGGTGGATGTTCCACATTTGTTTGACTGTTTTCCTGGAGATGACTGTTGGTGGATGTACCACATTTGTTTGACTGTTCCCTGGAGTTGACTGTTGGTGGATGTTCCACATTTGTTTGACTGTTTTCCTGGAGTTGACTGTTGGTGGATGTTCCACATTTGTTTGACTGTTTTCCTGGAGTTGACTGTTGGTGGATGTTCCACATTTGTTTGACTGTTTTCCTGGAGTTGACTATTGGTGGATGTTCCACATTTGTTTGACTGTTTTCCTGGAGTTGACTGTTGGTGGATGTTCCACATTTGTTTGACTGTTCCCTGGAGTTGACTGTTGGTGGATGTTCCACATTTGTTTGACTGTTTTCCTGGAGTTGACTGTTGGTGGATGTTCCACATTTGTTTGACTGTTTCCTGGAGTTGACTGTTGGTGGATGTTCCACATTTGTTTGACTGTTTTCCTGGAGTTGACTATTGGTGGATGTTCCACATTTGTTTGACTGTTTCCTGGAGTTGACTGTTGGTGGATGTTCCACATTTGTTTGACTGTTTCCTGGAGTTGACTGTTGGTGGATGTTCCACATTTGTTTGACTGTTTCCTGGAGTTGACTATTGGTGGACGTTCCACATTTGTTTGACTGTTTCCTGGAGTTGACTATTGGTGGATGTTCCACATTTGTTTGACTGTTTCCTGGAGTTGACTGTTGGTGGATGTTCCACATTTGTTTGACTGTTTCCTGGAGTTGACTATTGGTGGATGTTCCACATTTGTTTGACTGTTTCCTGGAGTTGACTATTGGTGGATGTTCCACATTTGTTTGACTGTTTTCCTGGAGTTGACTATTGGTGGATGTTCCACATTTGTTTGACTGTTTCCTGGAGTTGACTATTGGTGGATGTTCCACATTTGTTTGACTGTTTCCTGGAGTTGACTATTGGTGGACGTTCCACATGTGTTGACTTTTTTCCTGGAGTCGATGTTGGTGGATGTTTGGTTGACAGGAAGATGTTAGTTATTAGTTTGATAACAAATGAAACATTAGTATTGGAGATATAATTGACACTGAAGGACAAGGGATAAAAACTAAATGTTACAACAACAAGGCTGAGATGGATATATTAGGTCAATCAATACCTGACACTGATCGCATGGCTTTGATCTCGTATCCTGCTCAGTATGTGACATGGATTTGATACTAATGATCTACTGTGGCTGGTTTGTTACATTAAACACTTGAATAGCTGTGATGTAGATGTTTGTATCATATATGATATAGAATACCATTAAATGTCACAGCTATTGTTCGTTTGTCAATCTAACTCCAATCAGTTTTACAAGGGATTTCTATAATTTCAATGGCTTTCCCAATAAGGTTTTTTTCTGAAGAATTACTGTAAAATAATACCAGAGCTTTTTTGATATCTTGTACCATTGATTTTTTACCTTTGGATCTAGTTTACAAATGTTTATACAATAAACTAATCTAGTTTAAACTATCCATGTGAGATAACAATTCATGTTGCCCCACTTTTCATATGAGGCACTATGGTTGGGGAAACCTGAATGGGGAATCAAGGTTTTAGAAACATGATCATGGAAGCATGGCTACAAAAATGTGAACCATTGAAAGAGGAGCTTGGACAGTGAACCATTGACAGAAAAACATGATCAGGTCAGAAAACAATTTACATAGAAGCTTGGTCAGAGATCCATTGACAGAAAAGCTTGATCAGGGAACTTTTGACATAGAAACAGGATCAAGGAACCATTGACAGAGAAGGATGATCAGTGAACCATTAACAAAGAAGCATGATTAGGGACTTATTGACAGAGAAGCTTGATCAGTGAACCATTAACAGAGAAGCATGATTAGGGACTTATTGACAGAGAATGATCAGTGAACCATTAACAGAGAAGCAGGGACTTATTGACAGAGAAGCTTGATCAGTGAACCATTAACAGAGAAACATGATCAGTGAACCATTAACAGAGAAGCATGATTAGGGACTTATTGACCGAGAAGCTTGATCAGTGAACCATTAACAGAGAAACATGATCAGTGAACCATTGACAGAGGAGCTAGATCGGGGAATGATAGACAGAGGAGCTTGATCAGGGAACTATTGACAAAGAAATATGATCAGGGAACTATTGGAACAGAAGTTTGATCAGGGAACTATTGACATAGAAGCATGATCAGTGAACCATTGACAGAGAAGCTTGACCAGGGAACCATTGACAGAGAAGCTTGATCAGTGAACCATTGACAGAGAAGCTTGATCAGTGAACCATTAACAGAGAAACATGATCAGTGAACCATTGAGAGAAGCTTGATCAGTGAACCATTAACAGAGAAGCATGATTAGGGACTTATTGACAAAGAAGCTTGATCAGTGAACCATTAACAGAGAAACATGATCAGTGAACCATTAACAGAGAAGCATGATTAGGGACTTATTGACCGAGAAGCTTGATCAGTGAACCATTAACAGAGAAACATAATCAGTGAACCATTAACAGAGAAACATGATCAGTGAACCATTAACAGAGAAACATGATCAGTGAACCATTAACAGAGAAGCATGATTAGGGACTTATTGACAGAGAAGCTTGATCAGTGAACCATTAACAGAGAAACATGATCAGTGAACCATTAACAGAGAAGCATGATTAGGGACTTATTGACAGAGAAGCTTGATCAGTGAACCATTAACAGAGAAGCATGATTAGGGACTTATTGACAGAGAAGCTTGATCAGTGAACCATTAACAGAGAAACATGATCAGTGAACCATTAACAGAGAAGCTTGGTTAGGGATCCATTGGCAAAGAGGCATGATCAGGGAACTATTGACACAGAAACATGATCAGGGAACTATTGACAAAGAAGCTTGATCAGGGATCCATTGACAAAGAAACATGATCAGTGAACCATTGACAGAGGAGCTAGATCGGGGAATGATAGACAGAGGAGCTTGATCAGGGAACTATTGACAAAGAAACATGATCAGGGAACTATTGACAGAGAAGCTTTATCAGGGAACTATTGACAAAGAAACATGATCAGTGAACCATTGACAGAGAAGCTTGATCAGGGAACCATTGACATAGAAGCTAGATCGGGGAATGATAGACAGAGGAGCTTGATCAGGGAACTATTAACAGAGAAACATGATCAGTGAACCATTGAGAGAAGCTTGATCAGTGAACCATTAACAGAGAAGCATGATTAGGGACTTATTGACAAAGAAGCTTGATCAGTGAACCATTAACAGAGAAACATGATCAGTGAACCATTAACAGAGAAGCATGATTAGGGACTTATTGACCGAGAAGCTTGATCAGTGAACCATTAACAGAGAAACATGATCAGTGAACCATTGACAGAGGAGCTAGATCGGGGAATGATAGACAGAGGAGCTTGATCAGGGAACTATTGACAAAGAAATATGATCAGGGAACTATTGGAACAGAAGTTTGATCAGGGAACTATTGACATAGAAGCATGATAAGTGAACCATTGACAGAGAAGCTTGGCCAGGGAACCATTGACAGAGAAGCTTGATCAGAAAGCCATTGGAAGAGAAGTTTGATCAGGGAACTATAGACAGAGAAACATGATCAGGGAAGCATTGACAGAGAAGCTTGATCAGGGAACCATTAACAGAGAAGCTTGATCAGGGATCCATTTACAGAGAAGCTTGATCAGGGATCCATTTACAGAGAAGCTTACATGGAAAAGTCTGGTGAAAAAACATGCTGAGAGATAGTTTAGTGAGGGAAACATGATGAAAGACAGTTTGGTTAGAAAAGTAAGGTACTAGTATGTGTGTCTGTGCTTATCTGTGCTGATAGGCAGGGGAGAGTGAGCAGTGAGAGCTATAGCTTGGTACAAACCTGTAACTCTCTAGCCTGCCAAGCCAGCTTCTCTAACAACCCAGCAGCTTTGTGTCTGTGTGCATATGACAGGTTGAACGAGGGGACCATCTCTATTTGCCAGTAACTCAAGGTAGCTTTTCATGTGATTTATTTTTTGTGTTTACTTGATGTTTTGTTGTTTTCAGGTGATGTTTTACTCCATTTCATCTATTTTAACTTTGTCAGCTATGATAAACCAAATTAGGAACGACTTTCATTTTGATTCACAAACATTGTTGTTTATACTGGGAACAGTCTACAGTAAACATAACAATGTCTTCATTGTTGAACTAAAATATGTAAGGAAATGAAATTGGATTTTATTAAAAAAAAAACTAAACATTGATGATATAATATTGAATTTTGGCTGGGTAACTCAACAATGAACTCAGTTATTGACACTTAATGGTAAGGTTTATGGTTGACTGCATTATTCAACAGTAAACTTTATCATTGACTGGGAAAACTCTATACAATTATACACTTTTGATGAGGTTGATACATGATTTTATTAACCAAAATCAAAAGGTGATGCCTATGATAGTTTTATTATAAAATAACATACATGTTTTTAGTCGATAGAATGCATTTTTTTAAGCGTAATTAAAGAAGAGGAAATACATAATTCATTATATATTTACATATATCACATTATTGCTGTTGACGTGCTTGGTGTTATTAGACTCCATGCCATTGGGAACAGCATGTTATATGTGGTGTGTAAAAATGGCAAACCTGCTGTCTGCCATTTCTGTTTTTATTGTCAACTAGTGTCAGAGTTGACAGTACTTTCCATCAGTCTATTTTTAGAAATGCATGGTCAGCTAGCTTTTTTTACCAGCATTTAATTTTTCCATGGCTGGTCGATACAACTTTTGATCAGATGTTGATGGATTGGAAAGGTTATAACTTAACAATCTATGATAACTGAGATCTGTTATAAAATATTTTCGGTTATTTTTCTCCCAATAAAATGTGCCAGAGACATAACATAAGTGCTTGGCTGGAAAACATGACATGTAAACCCTGTAACTGTATTTTGTGGACAATAATGCTTGAATGACATTTGTTTCTAATATCATTGAAGTTTAATCATTTCCCTGTATTTGTTTTCAGTTTTATCCTTGAGTACATACAGTAATATAAGGGCATGTGCATGCATATTATTGTTGTTGTGAACATGAGTTTTTAAATGTGAAGGAAAATACACTTTAAGCACGAATACTGTGCGCAGATGTATGTCTTGGCATATATGTATATAGTGTAGTCTCTGGTCCAAATGTCTGGGTATATCTGTATATATAGTGTAGTCTCTGGTCCAAATGTCTGGGTATATCTGTATATATAGTGTAGTCTCTGGTCCAAATGTCTGGGTATATATGTATATATAGTGTAGTTTCTGGTCCAAATGTCTTGGCATATCTGTATATAGTGTAGTTTCTGGTCCAAATGTCTGGGTATATCTGTATATAGTGTAGTTTCTGGTCCAAATGTCTGGGTATATCTGTATATATAGTGTAGTGTCTGGTCCAAATGTCTGGGTATATATGTATATAGTGTAGTTTCTGGTCCAAATGTCTGGGTATATATGTATATAGTGTAGTTTCTGGTCCAAATGGCTGGGTATATCTGTATATAGTGTAGTTTCTGGTCCAAATGTCTGGGTATATCTGTATATAGTGTAGTTTCTGGTCCAAATGTCTGGGTATATCTGTATATATAGTGTAGTCTCTGGTCCAAATGTCTGGGTATATATGTATATAGTGTAGTTTCTGGTCCAAATGTCTGGGTATATATGTATATAGTGTAGTTTCTGGTCCAAATGTCTGGGTATATCTGTATATAGTGTAGTCTCTGGTCCAAATGTCTTGGTATATCTGTATATATAGTGTAGTCTCTGGTCCAAATGTCTGGGTATATCTGTATATATTGTGTAGTCTCTGGTCCAAATGTCTGGGAATATCTGTATATATTGTGTAGTCTCTGGTCCAAATGTCTGGGTATATATGTATATAGTGTAGTTTCTGGTCCAAATGTCTGGGTATATCTGTATATATAGTGTAGTCTCTGGTCCAAATGTCTGGGTATATATGTATATATAGTGTAGTTTCTGGTCCAAATGTCTTGGCATATCTGTATATAGTGTAGTTTCTGGTCCAAATGGCTGGGTATATCTGTATATAGTGTAGTTTCTGGTCCAAATGTCTGGGTATATATGTATATAGTGTAGTTTCTGGTCCAAATGTCTGGGTATATCTGTATATATAGTGTAGTCTCTGGTCCAAATGTCTGGGTATATATGTATATAGTGTAGTTTCTGGTCCAAATGTCTGGGTATATATGTATATAGTGTAGTTTCTGGTCCAAATGTCTGGGTATATCTGTATATAGTGTAGTCTCTGGTCCAAATGTCTTGGTATATCTGTATATATAGTGTAGTCTCTGGTCCAAATGTCTGGGTATATCTGTATATAGTGTAGTCTCTGGTCCAAATGAATATCTGTATATATTGTGTATATCTGTATATATTGTGTAGTCTCTGGTCCAAATGTCTGGGTATATCTGTATATATTGTGTAGTCTCTGGTCCAGATGTCTGGGTATATCTTTATATATTGTGTAATCTCTGGTCCAAATGTCTGGGTATATCTGTTTGTCTTGGTATATCTGTATTACATGTTTATCATTGATTATATGATTGATGCATTAATACCTTGTTTAAATACTCTGTGAAGTCTAGCAGGTTTTTTTTTTCAAAGCCATATTCTGATTAATTACAGAAAATTGGTTGTGCCAGGACACTCAATATTTTTCTTCACCATAGAATTGTGTGAAAAGTTTAATGAACATTTCAGAATAAATCTTTGAAATGTATCACTAAGCATGCTTGAAAAATGTTGTTGAGTGGCTGTATGAATTCAGAGTTGCTTTAAGAATATATTACAGGGAATCATTAACATATCCTTAATGTACTATATAAGGATATAATGAATTAGTGTTAAACGGAAAAACAATAAAAAAAATTCATGGGATGAAATGGGTGTGGACTGGAATGACTGGATTATATTGTCTTAAAAAAATCTGTACTAAAACCTGTCTGGAAAGACCACTGATACAGATATGGAGAGAAAAATCGACTGTGATCATGGTAAAGGGAAGACAACTGTGTAGAGAGACCATGGCAAAGAGAAAACAACTGTGTAGAGAGACCATGGCAAAGAGAAAATATCTGTGTAGAGAGACCATGGCAAAGAGAAAACAACTGTGTAGAGAGACCATGGCAAAGAGAAAACAACTGTGTAGAGAAACCATGGCAAAGAGAAAACAACTGTGTAGAGAGACCATGGCAAAGAGAAAATATCTGTGTAGAGAGATCATGGCAAAGAGAAAACAGCTGTGTATAGAGACCATGGCAAAGAGAAAACAACTGTGTAAAGAGACCATGGCAAAGAAAAGGCAACTGTGTAGAGAGACCATGGCAAAGAGAAGGCAACTGTGTAGAGAGACCATGGTAAAGAGAAAACAACTGTGAAGAGAGACCATGGTAAGGAGAAAACAACTGTGTAGAGAGACCATGGTAAAGAGAAAATAACTGTGTAGAGAGACCATGGCAAAGAGAAAACAACTGTGTAGAGAGACCATGGCAAAGAGAAGGCAACTGTGTAGAGAGACCATGGTAAAGAGAAGACAATTGTGTAGAGAGACCATAGCAAAGAGAAAACAACTGTGTAGAGAGACCATGACAAAGAGAAGACAACTGTGTGGAGAGACCATGGTAAAGAGAAAATAACTGTGTAGAGAGACCATGGCAAAGAGAAAACAACTGTGTAGAGAGACCATGGCAAAGAGAAGGCAACTGTGTAGAGAGACCATGGTAAAGAGAAAACAACTGTGTAGAGAGACCATGACAAAGAGAAGGCAACTGTGTAGAGAGACCATGGTAAAGAGAAAACAACTGTAGAGAGGCCATGGTAAAGAGAAAATAATTGTGTAGAGAGAACATGGCAAAGAGAAAACAACTGTGTAGAGAGACCATGGCAAAGAGAAGGCAACTGTGTAGAGAGACCATGGTAAAGAGAAGACAGTTGTGTAGAGAGACCATAGCAAAGAGAAAACAACTGTGTAGAGAGACCATGACAAAGAGAAGACAACTGTGTGGAGAGACCATGGTAAAGAGAAAATAACTGTGTAGAGAGACCATGGCAAAGAGAAAACAACTGTGTAGAGAGACCATGGCAAAGATAAGGCAACTGTGTAGAGAGGCCATGGTAAAGAGAAAATAACTGTGTAGAGAGGCCATTGTAAAGAGAAAACAGTTGTGAAGAGAGACCACTATTTAAACAGATCACTGTACAGATAAAACTCCATCTACAAATGTCACTGTTTTAGGAGACAGCTGTCTAGATAAAGCTCTGTGTAGAAAATCTATTTTTTAAAGAGACTACTGTCCCGATAAACCTTTGTCTAAAATGACAGTTCAAACAGATCACTGTCCAGGTTAATCTCAGCTTAAGGATTTAACTGTTTAAAAAGACCACCGTCACTGTTGAGATAAACTGCTGCTTTAGGAAATGACTGTTTAAAGAAACCACTGTCCAGGTAAACCTTATTATGAGGAAATGGCTTTACAAAGAGACCACTGTCTAGATAAACCTTCATCAAAGGAAATGGCTTTTCAAAGAGACCACTGTCCAGATAAACCTCTAGCTAAGGAAATGACTATTTAAGGAGACCTTTGTCCAGATAATTCTTTATCAGAGGAAATGGCTTTTCAGAGAGACCACTGTCCAGATAAACCTTTGTTTGCTTTAAAGATTGTTTAAAGGAACCTTTGTCCAGATAAACTTTTGTCTGGAGATATCAGTAACATGTTAGAAAACCACTGTCAAAGCATTGATTAGGTTACCCTCTGAAGCTGATGATGATTTGTTAATATCACGTAAGATTTAGGAAGTCTGTATGTGGATTTGTTTCCATAGATACATTTGTTTCCTGATTAGTGAAATAATGGGTGAAGCAGGTTTGTGTATCGCTTATAAAGATGGATCAACACTATGGATTTCATCTAGG